GAAGTCRGAGCAAGGAATCCAAATACCACCCCAAGTGTCTTTGCCTTGCTGTCTTCCTAGGGTCACAGCTGGGACTTGCTGGGGATGCACCCGACACAGAGGAGATGAGAGTAAGTGCCAGCGCCTAGGAATGCTTCCCTGTCTGCCCAAAGGTCAGAAAGTACTTCCATGTCAGTGTTCCTGTTAGCTATATAGGGGGATAGGGCAGGGCAGGAGAGACTGAGAAGTCCAGGAAATCCCCTAAATCCCCATTTTCAGTGGCTATGTTCATTTGGTTTAGCTCACAGCACCTTTACGGGACACTTACTCTGTGCCAAGCACCATGGGAGCCACTGAGCCAAGCAAGATGAGGAGGACACGGTTACTGCCTGGAAGGGAATACTCTATAAAGGGACACAGGCGTGCGCAACAGTGCTCATGCGCCAGCGAAGGAGCATGCGGAATGCCGACGGAGAATGTGCAGCCACGGTGGGCAACACAGATCTAAGCACAGGGGTGGACTTGAACGATATTTAGGGGGTGAAATCTCCCGCTCTTGGTGATTGACGGTGGCAGGAGTCTTCAGGTAAAAGAAAGAACACTGGATCCTTTCCCGGCATCGACCATTCTATGAATTCATTCCCTCTGTGTCCTTCCCYCTCCCTGGTTTCAGTTTCCCCCTCTGATCAGTTTGGGGATCTACCAGATGTTCCCTTATGCACTGCTTCTGTGCCAGTTGTGAGGCACCAGATGTCTGTTGCGCTTTATTTCATTCATTCAGCGCCCACTATGTACCGATACCTTTTAGCATAGTCTTCACACCAGTTCAMAGCTACCCTGTCCTGAGGATGTTATTGTCCGCATTTGAAATATGAGAAACCCGAGGCTCAGAGAGAGAGAGAGAGAGAGTTTATATCGTCAACGACGGGCCCTACACAGAGATCTAGAAACCCTTGATCTCRCGCCTGCGAACCTTTTCACCCTCCACGGAATTAGCTTAAGGGGACATGTGCCTGGGAGTTCCCTCTGGGCTTGACCTCAGTTCCAGGAGCCCGCCCTTCCCCCAGTCCTTAATGGGTTTCGCGGTGTGGTTTGAATGTTGGTGGGGGTGGCAAGCACTTGACCGAGCACCTCCTGGGATGTGGGTGGCTGAATGCGCCATCGAAGGCTCAGACTCCAGACGTGTGGATCAGAAAAGAACACCTRGAAGAAAACCTAGACGTCTTCTAGCCCACCCCTCGCATTTATGAGCTGAGAAAAATAAGGTGCCRATTGGGGAGGAAAGTAGCGTAAGGTCACACGCAAAGCCACAGGCTGCGTACAGCGCGCATCGCTGAATCTCAGGGTCTTTCGCCTACCACTAGGTCCTCCGGACCCCAGGACCCACCCTGACCCCCGAAGGAGAGTCCCGGCCCTTCCCTCCTCCCGGCAGTCTCCTCCATCACCACCCCATTAAGGCAACAATTAAGAAGCGGGACGAGGCTCCCTCTCCATCTGGGTAATTATGTTCTCATTAGGAGCCCATCCGCGCGCGCTGTGAGCATTAGCGCTCCGGCGCAGCTTGGGAGGCGCGCTCTCAGCTCTGCTGAGGGTGGAAACCGCGGCCGGCGAGCAGACAAGCCCGCAGCCCCAGTAGGACCTTGCGCGACCCCGCGCGACTTCYCGGAAAGCAGAGGTGGCAATGCCCAGACTGCTAGGAACGCTTGGCACGGTGTGGAGAACCGGGTGGAGCAGCCAGTTCGTTGGGTGCCAGAAGCCTGCCTGGATTCCCCTCACCATAGCCCTAGGCCTTAGCTGGGTGCTGGCCTCTGCGAAGCAAGACACGGCCTCTGCTCTCAGAGAGGCGGGTTGGGAAGGCAGGGTGGCAGGAGAGGCCACCCTCCAAAGAGGGAGGTCACAGAAGAGATGACAATTCTTGCCTACCTGGGAGGTAGAAAGCTCCCTGGAAGAAGTGTCCTTTASTATGAAAGCAGGGGACCAGGAAGTAACCAAGGTGACCTGGGCTGGGGAGAGACCTTTCAGACAAAGGGTGAGGCTGWATGGTGGCTGCGGGAGGAGGGGCTCTGGAACCCCTAGAGGCTCTGCTCTAAGGCATTTTATTTTAGATGAAAGCAGGAGGCAGGGCCCAGATCTGCAAGGACTTAGAAGATTTAAAGCTTTAAAGGAAGCCACAGTGAGGTRTAGCTTTTAGAATCGTCCCGCAACCCCCTCCCCAGCCTCAGGTCCCCGGTGGGGAGGAAGTCCCTACTGAGCCCCGTGCACTTTCTTCTCCATCCCTCTCAATTCCCAGCACACCAGTTGGAGTCTCTGATGTCCTCTCATTGGGAGCTCAGTTTTCAGGCAAAGGTTGATGTACTTGTCCCTGACAAAAGGAACACTCACCCCCATCTTCACCCCAGAAGTGAGGGAGGCCAATGGGGGGAGCTGTCCTGTTTGGAAAAGTAAGAACCCCAGAGCCCTCTGGGGCACGGGCATCAGTTTAAGTGCTTGCTTGGCATGGGCCACCACTGCCCCATGAATCACAAARGGAGTGGGAGAGGAGGAGCCCAGCCCCAGGTGTCCCCTTCCTCACCACAGGCAAGCAAGGCCTAGAGGAAGGAGGTAGTGAGTGCCTTGTCCTGTGTGGGCATGACAGCCTCCCAGAGGAAGCCACCTTTTAGCTGAACTTCCTACATCCTCAGGGGGGTAGGATTTTGAAAAGTGAAGTAGAAAAGCTACTTCAGCTTCAAGGACAAGAGCAGCAGGTGTGGAGGCCATAAAGAATCATGGAAGATGGGTTCATTAAATGGCAGAAGGAAGGTCAGCAAGTGGGAGAAAAGGAGAAAAGGAGGCGGGAGTCAGACTGAGCAGGATCTCCAATGCCAAGTTAAGGTTTGGGGTTAAGCAGGGACTCTCCCCCAGGAAGGGGGCAGGTACAGTCAGGGGGAACTTCTCCCTCTTCCTCCCCCTGGGGGCCCATTTYCTTTGGCTATTTTTGCTTTCCAGGCCCTAGAGCTGCTTGTCAGGAGTGAGCCCCAGTTCCTGGACAGGTGGGCTTTCCCAGGGCCTAGTCAGCACAGGCTCCAGCCAGGACTCAYCAACCACTCCAGACCCTGGGGATCAGAAAGAACCTGTCAAGGCAAAAGAAGGGTCCTGCCCTGGTCTAASAATAAATGAGGGCTGAGTCCACCTAGCCGGAGAAACTCCTGGGGATGTCTTGATTCCTCCCATTCCTGAATACAGATGGACAAACTGAGGCCCAGAGAGGAGACTTGTCGCTCACCTAGCTGGAATATACTCCTGTGGTCCCCTACAGCCCCAACCACGGGAACAAAACCCTGCAGTTCCTGCCCTCAGGAAGGGGAACGCCCCTCAGCCAGSCGAACTCCAAGGTGTTCTGGACAAAGCTTCCTCTGGTGTGGCTCCCCAACCACAGGGCCTCCAAGCTTCAAATCTAGGGCGAAGCAACCGGSAGCGTCCCTACACACCTGGAGAGCAGTTCCTGCACCCGCAGCGCTGTTGTTCGAGGTAGTTCTGCGGTCAAAGACTCCTTTTGTCCCTGACTGCTTCCCAAAAGGAAGACCACAGAGTGTGTCTCTTTTTAARAGGAGTAGTTTTTCTTTTAAATTCCTTTAAGATCCCTTATTCGTCCTCCTCCTCACCTCGATAGGCACTAGCTGGGGAGGAGGGGGACTGTTGGGCAGAAGGAGAAAAGCACTCTGTCGGCTGCCATCTACCCCCTACCTATCCCCGCAGGACTTGGAGCCTCTAGGGTTGCGCGGAAGGAAGGCGCCCGCTACAGATAACCGGCGGTCCCTGGATTGCGCGTGGAGGAGAAACAGGGCCCGGGTTTCAAATGAAGGCCGGTGCTTGGTGAAGCTTTACCTCAGAAAAGCTGCAGGAAAAAAATTTCTCCAAAGGGAAATGTTGCCTGTTGTGCTATTATTAACCAGCCCCCTTTYCCCATCCTTCTCGCCTGAGTCAATTAAATTCAACCCTGAACCTCCGACCGGGAAAAAGCCTCTAAGTAGGAACCACAACTAGAGAGGACCACCCGGCTGTGAATCCTGGCCCTTTGACCTCGCCGCCCCCCACCTTTGTCGCCCCCCACCCCCACCCCGGGCTTCCCATTGCCGGTGATCCCGGCCGCCGAAGCTATTGGGCCACCCTTCCAGACTTAAAATGAAGTCGTTTATTTCAATTTTGCTTTCACATTGTTCCGATACAATCAAAACTCCTGGACGAACCTCTTGAACAAAAGTCTTGCAAATGAGCGCAATCACACCGGTCCTGCACACCCGGGTAATCCGGCGGGTGGACTCGGAATTCAGAGGTGGTGGTATAAAACCGCTTCCAATGGTGGTATACACTGCTTCGGGAACTGCGGAGCGGACGAGGGTTGGGGACATCCAGGGACAGAAGGCGTGGGGAAGCTGACAGGCTGGTTCGGGTCTTCGAATTGGGATGATTCTGGATGCGTTTGGAATTCGAAAAACCCAAACTTCACTCCCAGGCCGATGGCTGAAGCCTGGCCTACCACGATCTCGGGCAGATTTCTTAACGTTTGCGCCAAAGCAGCGAGCACRGGCGAAGGCAGGGCTGGCCCTAGGCCTTGTACAAGAAGCGCGGGACTGGCTTTTCCAAGAAGCCGTTGCGCCTGGCCTTTCTCTGGTGGCATTCTTTCAAGACTCCTGTCTCTGAATCTTGCTCTCCCTTCGGACACCCCAGGCCCCCGCGACCTCACAACTGGGGAAGATGCGGAGTTTGGAAAGCTGTTTCAGAAAAATAAAAGTCCCACTTCGACTTTATTGGATCAAAGCAAAATTAAATCTTGGCTATTCACACGTATGTTACAGAGGACGAGGAAGCGTCCGGAAGAACCTCCTTGTGGAGCCACAGAGCACGCGGGCATGGACAAGCATCAGAACATCRAGCAGCCTCAGATTTCACGATCACTCCGAATAGGACATAGAAATACAGAAAKACAGCCAGTTTCCACTGGGAAGAGTTCTTCGAGTACAAATGATATATATTTATGTATATTTTAAACCAGTCACCACTAAGGTGAGTCCTTTCTCGGCTAGCAAGCAGCCGAGGATACAGAGTATCTTCGGCTAATTAACTCTTGAGCAGTGTTTTAAGAAGAGCAATACTTGTCAAGTTAAAACTACCTCCCCCATTCCAAAGCAAAAACAGAGAACAAAAATTTTTACCCCCTCTCCAAACTAAAAAGAAAGAGGAAACATGTTAGGGTTCAATAAGTGGAAGGATTTAGAGGAGGGATAGGGAGAGAGATTTTACATTATTAGTTAAGTACAAAGTTTCTTTTAAATAAATTGTTGGGAACAGAACTTGGGGGTCAGAAACAATGACGAGGCAGTCACTTGCTTGATTACTGAACCTGGAATGGGGAGGCGAGTTTATTTTTGGAAATGTGAGTGCGCAGAGCTAAGCGGAATTTACTTCTCCTAATAAGGAAATGGACTAAGTTGTCCAACCGCAGATGCGCACATTTTTTTGCCCAGATACAGCCAGTGAACGTGTAGGAAGTTTCAAGTGGTGCTACTTTCTCGCCCTCTTAATTTCAGACCTTTTCTCCTGCCTTCCCCCCTCTCCCGGCCTCCATCCAGGCTTTGGGCCATTCAGAGGGGAAACACGAGGAATCCGGAGAAGGTCGAGTACTTCCAGCCCCCCATCAAGTTCCCCCGCTCCAGCTTGAGGTATGCTCGGTCGCCTTTCTCCATTTGAATTAGGACTCCGTTGCTGGCTGCCTCCCGCGTCACGTCCTGGTCGCCAGCAAAGGCTGAAATCACTGGCCACCCGTTTAACATGAGGCTCACCTAGAAAGAGAAAAGCCAGCTTCAGAGGCGCAATCTAGGCGGGTCCCCAAGCTGCGGTGGAGAAGCGATCCTCCTCCGCGCTTGGATAATAGCCGCCAAGGACTGGCTGGGAGGGTTTGGCGAGAGTAAGGGGGCTTTGCAGCTTACTGCTGAGGGTCCAATGGGGAAGGAAAGACCATAAACCTGTGGGAGAGGAAGGGTCTGACTGCTAAATGGGATTCACCCTCATTCCAGTTTTGCAAATGAGCGCCCCAAGTAAATCCCATTGAGCCTTAACCAGCTGAATGAACGCGCGGGTGGCTTTAGAGCCTGAGACCTTTGACCTTTTTGCTTTCTCCAGCCTCAAAGAAAACCTCGGGCAACTCTGCTTCTGGCGCCCAGAAAACAGAAACAAACAAAAATCGTGGTCCCTCCAGGTCCCAGTTGCCGGGACACTGTGGAGAGGTAATGAAGAAGCGGGACAGGGCTTCTGGCTAGGTAGACATCACAGGCCAATCTGCACTCCGCGCTTTATCTCTGAACCACCGGTTCAGTGCCCGCCCCAGCTCTGGCCGCGCCCGCCCCTGCCTGGTTTTGCCCTTGCTGCGGCAGCGACAGTCCAGAGCCAAGCGTCCTCGCCCCAGCTGCGCTTTACAACTCGGTCTGCGCTCAAAGAAAATATGGATCTCTTTGGAGACCTGGAGAGACTGCAAGTGCTGAATGGAACGTAGCTGGAGCCAGGAGGGAGTGGCACTATGCCCCCTCCCTTCTCTCTCCACCCTTCATCCGACAGGGTTCGGAGTTGCTAGTTCAAAAACCCACGTTAGTCCGCAAAGGGATGCCCGCACCGGGCGTCAGGTTAGGGGGGGGAGAGCCTGTCCGTGGTGTTGAAGGCAAGCATACAAGCTGCCCCGCAGAGGTAGGGAGTACAGTCGGTGGTGGAGAAGGCGGGAGTCTCGGGGAGCTTACGGAAACGGGAGCTGTCTGCGGTGCTAGCAACAACCATGACAGAAAGTCCCCTTTCGGAGGGGCCCAAAAGGCGGAAGCAGAAAACTGTCTCTGGGGATGGGACTGGGTCCCAAGGGCCAGCGACAGGGAAAGCAAGGGACAGTCCAAGTCACAGAACTGTGAGGCCCCACTATCTGTCCCTCGGAGCAGCCTGGGGTACATGCAGCTGTCACTTCCGTCTCCCACCTCTATAGAGCCTGCGCACCCCTGAGGCTAGCAGTCCCCTACGGGGGCCGGGGCCTGGCCCCAAGGCGGCAGCTGACCTGGATGGTCTGTCTGTTGTAGACTTTTACCACGTGGAAGTTAAAACTGTAGATCCCTTTGCGCGGGGCGATGAAAGTGCTGCGTTCTGAATCAAAGTTGTTCCCGATGTTCACTAGTACCTATAACGAAACGGGAACCAAGGGGAGTGGACAGGATTCAGTCCCAGACTGTCATCCCCGCGCCTCCGCAGAGCCCTTGAACAGGATCGGACATCCGTCTTCCATCGCTCCCCCCACCCCCCYACCAGTCCAATCTGCGTGCCGCGGGAGCAAGAAGCACTCACCTGGTCGAAGTAGATGATCATGGTGCGATTACTCATCTCGGACGGTTCGTGGTTGGTGCTCCTGATAGCAGAGAAAGCCACCTTGGCGCTTCCGGAGCGCACCGAGATGCCCAGAGCTGTGCCCGTGGGATCCGACGTGGGGTTGGAGTCGCACACCACCAGGCACTTGCCCTCGAGCACGATGGGCTCCGTCTCATTCTGCCCTCGGGCCGGGCCTGCCAGCCACGCAGCCCCCAGCAGCAGCAGCTCCACGACGCCCAGCATCGCGCCGCCCGCGCCCACCCCGCCCCCACCCCGGGGGCTGCCTGCGCCAGCCGCCCCCCCTCCCCAGCCCTGCTCCGAAGCCCCCTCCTCAGCTCCGTGCGCAGCTTCGCCGACGCCGCCCCGGACACAACTGCTGTTTCCCGCACTATGGGACAAGCGTCCCTCCGCGCGATGTTCCGGGAGCCCCACCCGGGCCTCAGGGGTGCCGCGGCTGCCCAGCCGCACTTGGATGCATAGCCGCTGCTGCTTGGTCCCCGCTGTTGCCGCCGCCTCCTGCCCGCATCCGCCGCTGCTGCCGCCGCCGCCGCTCTAAATTATTGATGCAGCAGGCGCTGCAGCCAGAGCCGGCGGTGAGCGCGCGCCGGGCACAAAGGCGCGGACCRCGGCCTGGCCCCGCCCCCGCCCCTCCTGGCCCGCCTCCTTCGGCAGCCCCGCCTCCTCCCTGGATGAGGCTCCGCCCACTATCCAATCCTGACGCGCCGCGCTCCCCGCCGGGCCAATGGCAGGCCTGTCCGCGCGCGGCCACCTGACCCTGGGCGCCGATGTTATTAGGCGCGGCAAGGCGGGCGGCGCGCGGCAGCAGGGTTGGGCTCTGGCCGGGAGTCGACTGAGGGAGCGAGGGCGGGGAGCGCGCGCGCGGGCGCGCGCCCTCGTCTGGACCGTCTGCCGCGGACGCTCGCCCTCTAGCCTCCCGCCTCACACCACGATTCCGTTCAGCCCCCTCGGTCCTTCCCGCGCGCCTCCCACGCCAGCCCTCAGGTAGGAGGCGGCGCGCGCCAGGGTCGCTAGTAGAATCGCGGAGGACCGAGAGGCGCCCGCTTGTGGGTGCGCGGGGTGGAAGGGGAGCGCCCCCCAGTGGGCACAGATGCGCGGGGCAGCCGGAGCGCGGGGCCAGTCTGTTTAGGGGCCGGCCTGGAGGCCTGGCTGCAGAGCGCGTGCGTGCGCGGCAGGGGCGGGGTCTGCGCCGTGGTCTCAGGGGGAGGCGCACGTGGCGCCGTGGGGTGCAGGCTCTCTCCGGACTCCAGAGGCTAGTCTGGGTGTTCAGGCTGGGCGCTGGGGTTTGAGGATCTTGGTAGTTCCTTCCCCAGCTCCAGACCACTGGGGTGGAGCTTGGCCTCCCGCTCTCGCCCACCCATCAAAGCGCTGGCTCTGCGGGCTCCGGAGGGCAGATGGAGCGAGCGTCCATTCGTTCACTTATTCATTCGTCGCTTATTCAGGATAAATTATTGAACCCGTTTGAAGTACCTAGCACTGGGGTGGGAGCTGAGGGTGGGGTGGTGGGCAGAAGCAAATGAGGCCTGCCTTTGAGGCCAGGCTTCGTGCCCCTTACAATCCAATGTGCAAGAGAGTAGCAACGCGCACAGGCTGCTTACTTAATTTTTCTCTTTTGCATTTAAAATTTATATTTGCATCAGTATTTTTGTGCACCTTTTCTGCATGCTTTATCCACGTGTACTTGCACTTCATTGCCTTGAGCGTTGACACCAAAATCATTTCTGGACTATTTTTCGGGGGTCATTTTGACCTCAAAGGAATTCTCTCCCCCCTCTCTTAGACTTAAAACTAAATACACAAACGTGAAAGTAAAAATATGGGTTTGTTAACTGTCGGAGAGAGAGGAACTGTGGAGGAGATCGGAAGAGAAAGGGAGCGCCCCAACTTGGGTGTGGGATGGCGGATACCTGAAGGATGGACGCGCGCTTTTAAACCGAGGGAGGCTGGAGAGCCAGCGGATCTGTCAATTCCAAAGCAAAGGTGCCTGCTTCAGATTCCAAGCCAAGGCGAGTCGGGGATGCTGACTAAGGGGCTCTTGGCGCTCTGAAGCGACCGTGTTCAGCCAAGCCATAGACGTGGGCCAGTGGTGGGCTGGTGCCCACCTTGGGATCTGGAGAGACGCGGGGCCCCTGCTGATGGCAACTACCCTCCGCATCTGGGCTTATGGTTGACAGGGTCTGTCATCCCCTAGAATAGTCTCTACCTTCGGTGACAAGCCCTCAGAATCCCCAGCAGCCACACCTGTCCTCTTCTCCATCTCCTTTGTTTCTTTGAGACTTATTTGATAGTTTAAAGACCTACCAGGAGAAACCCCATCTCCAACCCCCGCCTTTTGCAGAGGCTGGCCGGGTCACTGGGTGAGCCAGGAGAAAGGGAAAGGGTGGACAAAGAGGCAGCCATTTACCTTTAAATTAAAACAAGAGTATATTTTTCCAGCTTCTGTCTTTTTGAGACATCCCCAGAAAGCATTGCCAGCTGTGATTACGCCTAATGTGAGAGCACGAACTAATTTAAGAGGTGAGAGCTGAATAATGAGACTGCATCCAGTGCAGCCGCCTAGACTGGCAGCGCTAACCGTGGCAGGTACCTGGAAAAACACCTAGGTAAGGACCAGTCTCATTCTCTCAGTGCCCTGGAGCTAGTGACATTGTCGGTCATTCCACAGATGTTTACTGAGTGCCTCCTTGTGGGGTTGCACCAAGAGCCAGAGATTTGAGGAGTAGGGAGGTAGTGCCTATTTTCATGGAACGCAGGTACGTCTAGTATTACCTACAAGCAGGTGGTCACCAGCCTCTTGGTTTTCCCTTCATTGAAGCTCTAGCGGGTTTTGCTGGGCCCTGAAATGCCATGTAGCTGCCAGTGATCCTCCATCTTGTATTTCCATCGCAGCCTCTCTTTGGTCCAGACCTGTCATTTTAAGGGCCTGCTAGACCTCTGTGTTTACATATCCTGCAGACATGATTAGATCCTTCCTTTTGTCTCTCTCCCTGTCTCCCAAACTCAGCCTCTCTTATTTCCCTACCTCAGTGACAATGGCTGCACTGACCTAGATGTGAAAAGTCTAAGGACCCTCACATCTAGCCTGATTCTGTGTTCTATTGTTTGAGCCATTCTCATAAGGCTGCCCATTTCGGGTATACCACCTCTAGACTGGCTACTTMCACGAGCCTCCTAAGGTGTCATTCAGGGATAGTGTCTATTCTTTTTTTTTAATTTATTTATTTTTTAGTTGTAATTGCACACAATACCTCTATTTATATGTGGTGCTGAGGATCGAACCCAGGACCTTGCACATGCTAGGCGAGTGCTCTACCACTGAGCCACAACCCCAGCTCCAGTGTCCCTCTTGATGAATATCTATTAAGCCTTGATATAAGGAACCTCCACTTTTCTCCCATGTGAGGTTTCAAATCCATCACTCTCCTAGCTTTCCCCACCCCTTTCCATATAGTATGTGTTCAAAATATAATGTATATTAATTTAAAATGTTAATCGATGTCTTACTGAATTGTAAGGATTAAAGGAAGTTGTGTATGAGGGAAAAGCTCATTAGAAACCTCAAAATTAGTCTTGTTTATTTTTAGGCTTCTCCTGTTTTTGGAGTCAGGATTCTTTTAGCTGCAAGTGACAACACCAATTCAAACTAGCTTAAGGATTTTGTTTATTTTACGCAAAAACTCTAGGATAGGTCTTGCCATTTAAGGCATGGTTGGGCCTGTCAGTCAAGGTTACCAGGATCTCTTTTCCAGTTTTGGCTTCACTGTTGACAGATTATTTCCATATGATATCCCCTGAGAAGGTACTCCCAAATTAGACCTAGCAAGAAAAAGAGGGTACTTTTTTTGGTCGATATTTGCAGCTAAAGTCCCATTACTGTTCTTACAAGGGTTGTATGAGACACATCCTCTCCCTGAATGTGAATGGACGGTTGGTTGACTAAGATTGGATCCAGCTGCTCTCCCTAGGAAGGATTTAGTGTTTGCTCCCCATGGTCTAGAATAGAGGGAAATTAGAAAAGGGATGCTGGGCAGGCAGAAACCTCAGACATCTACCCTAGATCTTCTCAAAGGTCAGCAGCAATGCATTCTACACATAAAAATAGTGATGAACAATGAAGGAGTAGCTGAAAGGATAGATGTGTTTGTCATGGTTCTTTTCAGTCTTCAAGACTCAGGTAGACATGAAATTAGATACTGTCAACCATGATATTATTTGAGGTTTGACTTTGAAGTCAATGTCCCTTAAATGGTAGACCTCCTTCAGTATAAATAAACAATTGTAACATTCAATTCTAAAAAATTTTAAAGCAATATTCTGTAGGAATCAGTTTTGTCTTTTATTTTTAGGTTCCTAGAAAGGTGAACATTTCATTTGTTTATGGAGAGCTACGAAAAATTCCTCATTATTCCTCAGCTAATGAAAATCTTAGAGTCTAAAAAGGAAAAGTATTGAATCTCATTGTTTCTGAAATGTGTGACCATAGGGTTTAACTTTCTAAGGTTTTTCAGGTGCTGGAATATTGGTAAAGTATATAAAGGCCACTTCTCTGAAGCTTTTACAGTAATGTGTTATGAAGATGTAGAGAACTGCAAAATAACAAATAATTTCTACCATTGCTGTTATATTCTTCACCTTTGGCTTTAAATGGGGCTTTACATTTTGGTGAAATCAAAGGTTTATTTCTTCAGTATGCTATGAATTCTCTACCACAGTGCATTTTGAGAAGTGAGTGTAGTAGCAATCTTGATTGACATTTTATATTCATGGCAACCCACTTGCTCCCTATGCCACCCTGGAAGGGGGGAACCCTCTGTTGGGATGAGAGCATTTTCAGGAAATGGGGAATACTTTCTCACAAGATATGAAACAAACTCCTCTTTTTATTAAACCAAAATGGATTCTCTAATGTTTATGTATATCAAACAGGATTTCATCTCTTTTAGTCTTGGTTCAAAGGCCCAGACAGTATCCTTCCTAGGACTTGTTTCATTTGCTCTTAAAGCAGATGAAAAAGTCTACTTTGTTCTAAAGACTGTTTAAATTTAGGTATCAAGGGTCAAGGTCATTTCAAGTTAATGCCTAGAGATACAGTACAAAATATAGAAATGATTCTAAGCTGTATGAATTGTGAAATAATATTTTAACTTTCACCAATACCTCCATATTAATGGGTTTGCATTTCTTGCCAATTTATGTTTATATTAAATGCAACGTTTTTGCTGTTTAAATTTTAAAAGTTGTGTTTTGAAATTAACTTTGTAATTGGACACCTTTATTAAATGCAGGAAAGGCAGTATTAATTTTTAACAAAGGCCAGGTTTTGAATCTTTGAAATATTTTTTTTATCTTAAAAAATCAAAGAATACATTTAAAATATCTTTAGCTCTTATGTTAGTACCAAGTATGCATTTTTTTTTTTAGCCTGTGTTCAGAAGGAGAGACTGTATGTCTTCTCAATTAAAAGATGCTGACACTATTTTCAAAATGATGCCTAGAATCTGCTGTGGTATGTGCTGGCAGGAATTTTGTATGAAGCTGTTATTC